AAAAATCAAGGGGTACCCAGAGGTTTCTCAGTGTTCCAAAGCTGAGGATGTGAAGAAATAGTTGAGCTTCTCATTGTATAAAATCATTCAGGGGCACTCTAAAATGTTCATATTGGAGGTGGGATTTGGACACCAAAGGTGATTCTTGGGGGAGAGTTACTGGCTTTGGTGATTGACTTTTGGGTTGCTGAGGTGGCCTGAACTGTTCTAATAGGAGATGAGGCTTGATCAAGGCTCCCTTTCCCAGGAGAGGAAAGGGAGCTGGGTGATTTTTGGAGGTGCCTGTTCTTCGACACCCAAAATAAGTAGTTGGGAATTAACAGAAAGAGCTTGAATTGCAAAGAAATGGGCTGAGCCACAAGTTCCTTTGGAAGTTCCTCCTCACCCCTGGGGCACAGGCTGCCATCCACGGGGACCTTGGCAGCGGGATTAATGTTCCCAGAGGGATCTCCTGAGCTTTGGCTGTGGAAAAAGCGGAGTTTTTTCTCCCTGAGGGATGAAATCCCTGCAGGTCAGTGGGGTCTGGTGGCCCCTGGGAGCAGAGCCTGAGGTGCTGGTGGGCAGCAGGGGCAGGGGGAGTTGGCAGTGCCCTCCCTGCAGCAGCCAGGCTGAGTTCATGAGAGCAAGGCTGGCAGCTGGAGGGGAAAGATTCCTTCCCTCCTTGGCCACAGCTGGATCCTCTGCCCTGGGTTTGGGCTGCCAGGACAAGGGAGGGGCCAGCAAAGGGGCTGGTGGAGACCACCAGGACAGGCAGGGACTGTGGGGCAGGAGGGGGGGTGGGCTGGGGAGGAGGAGGAGGAGGAGGAAGGTGGTGAAGGGGAGGAGGAGGAAGGCAAGGAGAAGAAAGAGGAGGAGGAGGAAGGTGAGGAGGAGGAGAAGGAGGAAGAAGGTGAGGAGAAGAAAGAGGAGGAAGGTGAGGAGGAGGAGGAGAAGGAGGAGGAAGGTGAGGAGGAGAAGGAGGAGGAAGGTGAGGAGGAGGAGGAGGAAGGCGGTGAAGGGGAGGAGGAGGAAGGCGGTGAAGGGGAGGGGGAGGAAGGGGAGGAGGAAGAGGAAGGGGAGGAGGAGGAGGAGGAAGGTAGGAGGAGGAGGAAGAAGGTGAGGAGGAGAAGGAGGAGGAAGGTGGTGAAGGGGAGGAGGAGGAAGGTGGTGAAGGGGAGGAGGAGGAAGGCGAGGAGGAGGAGGAGGAGGAAGGCGAGGAGGAAGAGGAAGGTGGTGAAGGGGAGGAGGAGGAAGGCGATAAAGGGGAGGAGGAAGGTGAGAAGGAGGAGGAAGGCGAGGAGGAGGATGAAGGTGAGGAGGAGGCAGTGGTGCTTCCCTGCTGGAACAGGGGTTGGAGGAGGCAGAGGAAGGCTCTTGGTGTGAGCAGTGATGGGCTGAGCAGCAGTGGGGAGGGGGGACAACAGCAGGAATTCCAAGTGGAGACAAGGATATCACCTTTTAATGAGGGTGGGGAAGTGCTGGGCCAGGACCCACAGGCAGGGACACCTCCCACTAACCCAGGTCGCTCCATCCTGGCCTTGGACACTCCCAGGGATCCAGGGGCAGCCACAGCTTCTCTGCCCAACCTGTGCCAGGGCCTCCCTACCCTCCCAGGCAGGAATTTCTCCTTAATATCCCATTTAACAGAATCACAGAATCACTAAAGTTGAACCTGAATCCTTTGAAGTGGCCACAAATTGAAGGGATGATCCTCAACACCCCGATCCACCTTGGAATTAGTCCTGCTTCC